ATATTAGCGGTAATGGTCTGATGACCTATTCATTGACTCTAACTGCAAAAGAAATTACATCTCTTGTCGGTTAAATATCAGCTCATTTTCACAAAGCACAGATATAGCGAGAGATTTTAATTATAAACAAGGCCATATTTTATATATTACCATAGAAAGCTTATCAGAATACCCGACGAAATATTTTATTACCGTTTTAAAAAGGACCATATGATAATAAGAGGTCTTACGAGGAACAAGTAAAAAATAAAAATAAAAATAAAAGTGGGGGTAAAAAAAGAAAAAGTAATAAACAAAATGGTGAAGATAAAAATCACATGCAATGACGTAGTAAGCCAAGAGAATTCTTGATTTGATTGAAGAACAGCTACAGAAGCCAGTGAAGTAACGATATCAGGTTTCCCGTATTTTCACAGCCAGACATTTAAGTGCTTTGTATTCTGTGCAATGACATCTAAAATTATCTCCCGACTGCGATATCCTGACTCGTCACTTGTTTCGTGTGGCTTCCGAATCGTTTATAGCGTCATTGTTTGTCTCGCTTTCTGGGGCTGGTTGCTTCGGCTAGCGACTTTGCTGTCATACTATGAGATCGTTTCTCGAAAACGCCTTTCACCTTTAAACTCATTTCATTTATTATATGAAACGGTCTTTCTCCCTCCGCCGAGCTTGTCTTCCACAAATACAAACGCTAAATCTAAGTGCGGTACGGTTAAAAATAAAAGAATATTGTCAACTCTGTCGTCCATAAAAAATAGTTTCCATCGTTTCTTTCGAAGCGGCTGCATTATGTATGGTTATATGGAAATTTACGTATTAATTTCAGTTTGAGTTGGGTTCTCAAAAAAGCTTTTCTGTAGTAAAGAGCACATACACACATGTATATGAGCACGTGTGTGTGCGTAAGAGAGAGAGAGAGAGAGAGAGAAATATAAATTAGGAAACAGAAGCCGTCGAACCTCAAACAAAGCGAAACGCATCGTTAAAAATGTTTTCGCCTTTGTTTCATTATGTATACTTTTGTTTCTGTTAGAATTCTACACGTTCTAACACACACACAAACGTATATATATATATACACACACAATAATGTTTGAAGAAATAAAAATGCCGGATTATAAATAAATAAGTCTATTGTATATATATATATATATATATATATATATATATATATATATAAAACAGACTTATTTATTTAGAATCCGACATTTTTAATTCTTCAAACATTACTTTGGTGGATACCCGTTTTTTTTTAAATAGAGGCCCCATTTTCATTTTATATAGTGTGTATTATGCTATGTTGAAAATACAAACGAGTCGTCTATTTCAACCACGCCCATCCAATAAGAAATAAGGTTTAAATAATACATATATATATATATATATATATATATATATATATATATATATATATATATATATATATATATATATATACATGTATGTGTGTGTGCATAAAATACGCAGGTGCGCGCATACACACACACACATATATAAAGTAATGATCTTTTTTTTTATAATCAATCAAATATTTAACCCATAAAACGTTATGAGAGCTACGTCAATTTTTCGTCTACCGGTCTGAATATTCGAGAAATTTTATTAAAGAAAAATATGCTTCCTCGCCGAGATACGAGCCTGCGTCCCCCTTTGCAGGAGAAAGCGTCATTAGATCCGACGTACCTTAGATCGAATCGATTATGAAGGCCGTCGCCGATCAAGCAAGGCCGAATAGTGGCATTAAATGCTATCCTTTTCGTTCCAAATTCTCGAATGTTCATATCTGATCAGTTTCAGTTTCTCGAATATTTAGGCCGGAAGACGAAAATAAATATACTGTTTAAAAATAAACAGATCGTCTACTCAAATACGGAAATACGGGTATCCACTAAATATAACGTTTAAAGTGATATAAATATATAAATATCTCGCCACCTACGATTTTCAAGATCACTTAAGGTCTCGAAAATAGAAAAAATTACATATACATAGAATTACCGGAGACATCTCGCTGTGAGAGAGGCCCTGTATATAAAACATCTCGCTCAACTATCAACCTCAGCATATTTAACAATTGTAACGAGGGGGTTCAATGTTTTTTTTTAAAAAAACAATAGAAAGACGCCTACTTGAATTCTACCTGGGCTCCACACGCGACGCTTGGAATAAACACTCCTACTAGTATTCAAAACAATCTAAAAAAACAACATTTTATACATTCAAACATGAAGTAAAAAAATACCAACACCAAAAAAACAAATCACCGTGTAAATGGCTAAGGAAGTGGACGAAATCGTTTGAGACAAGAGGCAATGCGGACAATTTTTACACTCACTTACTACTATCAAATGGAAAACTTTAAGAATGCTGGAGAAATTTAACAAAGAATTAATAAAAATTTTCATTATCTGTCATATTCAACGAAACATATTTAAAAGTAATGGTGCTGCACAAATATGCAATAATTTTGTCACACACACACACACACACACACACATATATATATATATATATATATATATATATATATATATATATATATATATATATATATGGGGTGTGTGCGCACGGGCGTAAAAGTGGACACTGAAGTTCACAAACAGGGGACTATATTTGGGGCAATTGAAAATATATGTCTGCTTTTACATTTGCATATGATCTCCCCCTGACATTGAGCATTTTAGCCCATATATATTGCATACCTTAAAACAATATTTTACCATATATATATATTTCACACAGTAATTCTATTTTGGGTCGTCACCAGTCAAGGTGTTGATTCCATTTTTGATTTTCACCAGTCGAGGTGCAATTGAAATGCACCGAAACGAAGTTGCATCTTTGTAGCGAGTAAACTGTTTTTGCCTATATGAAAAAATTATAATATATATGGCCTGGTGCAGAGTCATGTTGCCAGATATAATGCCTTCCAGCAGCCACTGTCTTGATCCAGGGCAGCACTACCTTCACAAGGCATTTAACACATGCTTGCGTGTTAAGTCTGACGCCTTGTGGTGAGATGAATGGCTGTATAACGTCGTTACTACTTGTGATCACACCAAAAACCTTGGTAATCACCATAAGACTCATCGAACTCTTTCAGAATGAGGATTCCTGAGAATGAGACCCAAATAATTTGAAATGTTCGTATTGGATCTTCCGGCGTGAATGCTAAGCAGTAGAGCATGACATTTCCAAAATTCTGGTGGAGTATATTGCGTCATGGTGCTCTTTAACCCCAATAAACTCCACAGTCGACACAATCAAAAGCAAAGTGAAAATTGAAATTTAAAATGACGATTTATCTATCGCATCCTATACACACACACACACACACACACACATATATATATATACATATAAATATATATGTGTGTGTGTGTGTGTGTGTGTCATTCGCAGACAGTACTGTTTCGCTGTATCATAGCTACTCAGTGCGACTAGACATCCGAATGCCTCAAGCCAGGATTGAAACCCAACTGATTTGGTGTCAGTCAGAGCTTCTATCAGTGAGCTATCTTCATTCGGCAGAGTGAAACAGCTAAATCTAGAGTATTGTTTTTTTAGGAATGTAAACAAATGCCATTCAAGCGGAGTGCTCTATTCATTTTACTGAAGAGCTTTGCATTAACGCAGGTGGCTGTTATTTATAGAATTAGCTTATCACTCAACAGTGCTCTATTGAAATATATTTTCAAGAGCTTTGGGTATCTGAAATATTCTCCACTCGACCAATTTACCAAAATAAACAGTATGCTATGCATCAAATTCTTTGTGGTTGGTATAGATTTATGGATTTTAGGAAATACGCTTCTTGTGTTTAACTGCTGCGTGAACATGAAAAATGATTGCCAGTTTCACCGCCCAAATTCATACATTTTGATTGGACCGAGAATTTTTCTGTGCCTTTTTTTTATATATAAATTGACAGAAAATAAAATCAAACCACTTTGAAGAAATACAAGAAATTTGACCTGGGTATAGGTGCAGGCTAAGCAATATAAAATATTTTAATAAAAATCATCAATATCTTTTATCGGAGCAACATTCATACCATTCATGTTGTCACTGGCATAACCTTCTTCGGTGAAGCATGCTGTGATAACTTTCATTGAGGTAATAAGCCTCCAGTACAAGATGTTGCTATAACACGACAATCCAAGCGTGTTTCTTTAGCTCATTCGGAGCCGATGGCGGGAGACAAAAATGTGGGTATTTGAAAGGTCATTTCGTAGATTTGCAGCGCATATTATACGGGACGTGTCAGATGTAGAGGCCTACTGGGTGAGGGGTGTGACATGAACGTAAGAGAATTGAATGGAAACTAAAATTTATGAGAATATGAAAAATACGAGGGTAAGCAAAGAAATGATCTGAATTTTCGCCATAACATAACTTTACGTTTGCCACACTGCTTTCTGCTAACGTGTGATTATATTTGGTACTATTGTGGTCACGTGATCGAAGTTTGAGCTTGAACGCGCTAGTTTTCTTGCTGACGTTACAATGTAAACATGCCCGCTCCGCTAGCAGTGTGCAACAAGCACAATCTTCGATCACGTGACCACAATAATACCAACTATAAGTACGCATGAGCAGTGTAATAAACCTAATAAATATGTTATTGCGAATGAACGGATAATTTTTTTACCTATCCTCGTAGATAAAGATTAGCTATACACTTGAAGTGCTTAACATTGTATTGTTTGGGGAAGCATCCACCCAGGAGTCTTTTCCACAAATAGTGTCTCTTGTGGAGAAGTTTCGTGGTGGAACGTTTTTCTTACCAAAAAATACGTAAGGAATGATGGTAATAAAACAATGTGGACATAGCAAGGCGAGTTTGGCCTGGGAATTAGCGACAGGGTCGTGATTGGCTTGCAATATTGCACCTGTAGGGAAAGGGCTTGTAAGGTTGAGAGTAGTTCATCACCTACAAGGCCGCGTAAACGCTTTTGAACTCAATCAAAACTGGATATTGGCAAACTCCGGTCTAGTGCTTACAGCCATATCACATTGAAATACCGGTTCTCCTCCAGTCACCGAAGTTAAGCAACGTCGAATCAGGTTAGTACCTAGATGGGTGAACACTCGAGAATACTAGGAGCTGTAAGATTCTATGTGCGAGTCGTTTAATAGATAACGGCCTGGAATGAGAGATTGGAGAGACGAGTTCGAATTTCAGTTGGGTTTGTCCTTCTCACCTCCAGGCAGATATCATTTAAAAAAGTATGAATCCACCTCTCATTCTCCCATCTAAAGATTAAACAGTAGAACAGTATGAGAAAATTATTATCTCTCACCAAATACTTACAATCCGAAAATATGCTTCGGTTTTAAGTGACCTTTAAGGGTTGATAAACCGAAAAAAAAAAAAAATTAATCTATCAAAGCTCCAGGCCATATATGTCAGTAATACGGCAATTTGGGTCTGGGCTGATTCCCATAAAGATAGATGGAATTCTTATATTTGAAGACATACAAATATTCTATCCTGTCAGCCCGAGTACAAATACACGCACACATACAAACAACACCATAAAAAATAAATACAAATAATATATTGAAAGAGTACCAATTTCTGAGTGCTTCACAGTAAATTTATGTCCAGGATCATGTCGATATACAGGAGTAATACTGCATTTTGGGTGCGATCTCATTCCTCTGAAAATGTAGAATGACTGAAAGAGTAAGGTACTCTCTAGAGCGGTATAAGTACCCGACTATAGGGTCTTTAGCGATGGATCGTATAAACGATTATCACACATTTTCTACTTTTCTTTTAATCGGATTTACCCCCTTGCAAGGCAGTAAAGCCACTAAGACACTAGATGTGAACGAATTAGAAAACAGAAACATTACTAAGGTATGAGAACAGTAAGAAGAGAGATCATAAAGATAGTAGATAACGATTGACATTGCATTTAAAATTTCGAAGATCAAAGTTGATTGGTAAACATGAAATCAGAAGAGGGTTCCATAAACGAGAAAAGAAACGGTTACCATAGAACTTGCAGTTATATCTAGCCAGTTCAACTGTAAATTGATGAAAACTTAACGCCAATCTAAATGCGCTTAAATTCATAAAGTCTATGTACCAAAGGGCTAAGCTCACCTGAATAATTACCATGAAATAATTTTTAGAAAAGTCCCCATGAAGTAAGTATGCGAAAATGTGCGGTGTGAAAGTTAATGAAGCTGAGACGTTAGGTGAGGACCAATAGCAATTCTGTTTCTTCAAGAATTCTCCTAAATATATAGCATGAGTTGCATCTTGTCAATTCAGCAGTAAATTGATAAGATCTTGTTGCCAATCTAGTACTGTGCTTAAATCCATAAAGTCTAGGTACCATAGAGAAAACCTCATCAGAACAATTACTATGAAAGTATTTATAGAAAAGACAGAGGAAAGCAAATTTATGGCAGTGAGAAAGAATATGAACTCGAAACACCATGTCCAGAAAAATAATATTGCTGATTCTTTGGTTTCTAGAGAAAAATTCAGTGTCTGCTAGGTGATAAAATGTTTCAAGGTTGATGTAAATAATTTAAATAATGAAGACAGAACACTTGGATATTAGATATTACCAATTCTTTAACCATATTTCTTTAATTTTTATTTTTATTTTCAATTTACGTAATTAATCCCATTGAAAATTCATTTTCGTTTATTCTTTTTGGGGGAAGTGAATGTGCATTTTAAACCAATTGGTCTCCAAGCAATAATTTATTTTCATGATTTTCCTTGCGTTAAACAAGGTTTATGTATTTAAAAAGAATATATCTTTTGTTTACATAGTTTGGTCTTATTTTTTTATCTTATTTATTTGTTTATTTATTTATTTCTTGTCCCTGCTCTTCCATTTTTTTGACATTTAACTTTACATATATTAATCCCCGGTTAAACATATGTAGAGAAAATTGCATGCAGATGAAAATTCCCAGGAAGAAGGAGATGCACCACGGAGATATCTGAGCATGCGCATTGTTAATCGCGTACGCATAATAAATATTAAGATCTAAAAAAAAAATACAATCTGATCGCCTTTCAAAATCTTTAAGCATTTTAGTTGACATTAAGAAGATAGAAGGTCAGAGAAATGCATTTTCTAAAGTCAAGTATTAAAGGCTTCAAGAACATCTATTGATATTTAGTAAGCTCTTTAACCATATCAAAAGGCCACTGTTATAGTGAGCCCGCTGAAGATCGAACATTCCACAGTAGAATATAATCTCTGTATCAAATGTTAAAACTATTGTTCCACAACAACGTGATATATAAGGATACTGAACTAAGGATACAGTCAAAGAAATGTACTAGCACTAAATCGTCAGATAAACAATATTAGGTATCACACACACAAACACACATATACATTGTTATGTTTAAATTCTATAGTCACGCAGAATATCTTCCTTCAGATATGTTTCATTGAATATTAAAGACATATTAGGTTAATACTTTCCAGCTCTTTAATAAATTCCTGGGTGAATTTCATCTTAACATCAAGAAACTGATTAGAGAACTCGAAAGGATCAGTATAAAATAAATAGTGACAATATGTCTATATTATTCAATGAAGCATATATATATATATATATATATATATATATATGTGTGTGTGTGTGTGTGTGTATGAAAAGTGTGTGTATATAAATATAAAATATATGTATATGTGTAATATATTACATATATTATTATTTATATATCATATGCGCGCTACTTATTAGAAAGCGCTCAATATCAGAGATAGAGCTAACATATTTGGTTGGATTGATGTGAGTTTGTGACCCTGAGTTTCACGCTTTTGCGATCGTCAGACAAACAGTTTATCTGAGCATCGCAAAAAGTGTGAAACCCAGGGTCACAAACCCACATCAATCCAACAAAATAACCAATCCACATACGTAACTCCGGGGTTGAAGTGCAGGCTAAAACATTAATCAGATAGGTGACAAATTTTATATTTGTATTATCTTCTCTCTCTCTCTCTCTCTATATATATATATATATATATATATATATATATATATATATATATAATGGACTCTCCCATCGGTTTCGACGTATTAGGATCTGACAGCTTAATATGAGATCACTGTTAGATTGGCTGACCTTTTAGATCTTGCTCTCGCTTCTCGAAGATGATTCAGATAAGCAGATTGAAAACTGCTGAGTCCACTAAAACACGTTGATCTCCATTCTACCCACTCCATGGCTAAGCGCTCAAGTCTGCATATATATATATATATATATATATATATATATATATATATATATATATATATATATGTGTGTGTGTGTGTGTGTGTGTGTGTGTGTGTGTGTGTGTGTGTGTGTGTGTGTGTGTGGATGTGTGTGTGGATGTGTGTGTATGTGGATGTGTGTAAGATGGAGTAATCGATAACTCGCAGCGTTATTTCTTTTCCCTCCAGCAACAGGTTAAATGACCGTAGTTGGCAAATGTTGCCACGAACACTTCATTGGCCAAAATGTCCAGTCACTCCGGCAAAGGATGACTGTTCATCGATAACAAATTAGGGACACCCCCACACCAGGAAGAAAACTCCTTAGCCAACATTTAGAGGAATGCGCTGGACAAAATCTGCCAAATTTTAGTGTCTTCCCATTCTATCAATGCGTCTACAGAACCACTAAACAAACTATCTGTATTCCTTTTTTTTTTCTATTTTTGAATACTACACCAGTAGAAAAAAACAGTGATTTCAGAAAAGAATTTGGTTTCGATGTCGCCTCGTACCTGCCTTTATCATAAAACGTGCCGGAAGTAATTTAAGATAATTAAAATATAAGCACAACGTTTTCTTCTTATTTGTCTTTCTGTGCTTCGTCTTCTTTTTCTTCGTTCTGTTGTTTTTTTCTTCCTCTTTCTATTCTTCCTCGTTGTTTTCTATCCGTTCTCCTTTTTTGTCTCCTTCTGTTCGTCTTCTTTTTTGTTTCTTCTTCTTCTTCTTCTTCTTCTTCTTCTTCTTCTTCTTCGTCTTTCTATTCTTCTTATTTTATGTACCATGACTCTTCTTGACGTAGACGACCATGGCTCTCCACAATTCCCTGTCCTTTCTAGCTTTCTTCAGGATTCCATTTACTCAAACTGACCTAGTAGTTTACGCGTTGCTTGACTTCAAGCCGTACTGTGAGTACCAGATTTTCCAAGCCCTCTTTTCTCATTATATGACCAACTATCGCTCTCTGATGCTAAGTATAAATGTCCTTCTTGTTTATATTTGTGTTTACAAAACATGGTCACTTCTCACATTTTCGGTGTAGGGCATCCTCATCATCCTTCAGTGAAAAACACTTTTCTTTTGCTTCAAGTCTCTTCTACATCCGTAAAGGATTCGCTGAGGACTGATATTAAGTAACATTCTAATACCCTTTTCTTTGTCTCTAATTTTTTTTCACTTTTTTAATACACTGCTTAGCTTTTGGAAGGTATTTTCCGTACTCTGTTTAAAAAAAAAAAAGCTTCGGCACTAATAAAACCATTTAATCCAGAGCAGGAATTTAGTTTGGGTGTCGCCTTTTGCCTGACTTCATCAAAAGACATGCCATAAGTAGCTTAACACGTTGGTACGCAAGCCTCATTTCCTTGTTGTCCAAACGGTCCCAGTACAATATCTTAATTATTTGTGTACAACCTACTTTGTTTTAACATGGTTTCGTATTTGAGGCAATCATAACATATGTATTTATTATCCACGACTAACAGGTTTGTCCTGGAAGAAAATGTGGTTCTGGTGTACCATGATGATATAAGCAATCAATCATAGCCTCCCACTCGTAATAATTTTTATAGAAAAGTAAATTAGAAAACGACCAAACGGGGGTGGTGGTCGTGTGCTCCTTGCAGATATACCACCACAGCCCTTCGGTTGGTCCTGTGAGAGCCAACGTGTTAAAATAAAAAAAAAATATGCAATCAAACAACATTTTTAATCAGAAGTTTATTAAAAAAATACTACTGCCTAAACACACACACACAACATATATATATATATATATATATATATATATATATATATATATATATAAAACATAAATATATATATATATATATATATATATATATATATATATATATATATATATAT